GGGCACTGCCCATCGTCTTCGCCAAGGGGACGTGGTACGCGTGCGTGTCAGCACAGAGGCGCGCACCCTCGACGTCTCAGCCTTTGTTTTTCCACATAATGATGGCACTGCTTCGCGCTGGCTTCAGGAAGGTCGAATCGTGTCGCTGCTCCATCCTGTCGCAGGCGTGTTATCTTTCGAGGTCCCGCGTGCATGCGACCTTGACGCTTCTGTGCTGGGTGCGTTGCTGCGCAGCGTTACCCCAGGCCAGCATGTCTTCGTTGCGCTGCCCGGAGCTGACATTCTCCCTCATGCCGCCTTCGTCGCCGCCTTCCCTGGCCAGGACTGTGTCACATATCGGCTGACAGATGCGTCTGACCCCTCTGCTGTGGGTCTGCACTTGGCCTTCTCTGGAGTCTTTGAATCTTTCCCGGCCTTCTTGGAAAGCCTTCTTCGCAGCAACCGCCCCGCCGCGGCTCTGCTTCGGAGGTTGCAGCCCTTCGGCCTTTCTGTTCTAACCTGGGAATGCACTTCCTTTCCTGGTCGGGCTGACTGTCGCTACTGGCATGTCCATGTGCAGGCCGACTTTGCACGGGCCCGGGAGCACCTTCTGAGCATCAGTTGGGAGCCGAGACTTGTTCGCACGCCTCCGCCCCTTCCTCCCCCTAGGACCCGGGTTTTCCATAGCATAGGTTCCCAAACTAATGCCCCCTTCATTTCTGCCAGCACGCCGGCTGCTGTACTCCAGGCACCTCCGTCTGTTTGCGGTGCCGGCGTCACACCCGACTCTGCTTCCGAACTCGTTGACCTCTGGTGCGATGCATGGCACGTCAAGTGCTTGGTTGCATGTTTGCCTGGTTTCACTGTATGGGCTCTTCGAGAAGGGAGCCGACTCTACGGTATGTGCACCCCTGCCCCCTCTTGGGAAGCTGTCGCACAGGCCCTATCCCTGTCCCTCTGGGAGCTCCCACAGACGTTTCTGTCCAGCGACAGCCGTGTTTGGCCGTTGCCCCGTGACATCACAGGTGTTGCGATGCAGTGTGTCAGCGTTGGATACGACTCTCCTGAAGGGGTTTCCCAACTGGTGCGTAACTGCGAGGCTGAGACGCCTAGCCCGCCACCGCCTCCGAGCCCTTTAGCCTCTGCTGCTCTTGGCTTGCCCTGCTTGCGGCGTCACTCGCTACTGTGTGCCCTCAGTCTCCTTCTCCCTGTGGTGTCAGTCCGCGTGACGGTTGAGCCTGCTCCCTTGATCTCTCATCTCGCGGAATCCGAGACACTGCAAACCCGTCGAGATTTCTCGCGGCCCTGCACTATGTCTTGGACTCACGAGCTTGCCCGACAGACGCGCGGGTTCGCCCTTTCTGCACCTCAACTCGGCGCGTATGTTACTGGCGCCTCACCCCACTCAGAAGTGCAGATGCACCTTTGGCTTCCTGGGCAAGGCCCCGTCCACCTGAGGGTTGGTGCTCGACACCTCGACCAGCATCTTAGTGCTTACCTCGGCGCCTTCTTGCCAGACTGCGAATACGGCTTGCACGTGGCTTTCGACTCCAGCCCCCAAGTGCTCGATCTCCTCGTCTCCCCGCCTTCACCTTATGGCTGGTGGATACTGCGAGACTCAATTGGTTGTGAGCTTCTCCGACCGGTGGTCCAGCACTACACCTCCCATTGCTCCTTTTTCTTCTGCGCTGTGGAGCCGGATGGGGTTGTCCATATAGTTGAGCCCTCTGCTGAAGTCCGCCATATGTCTCCCTGCCCGCAAGGGGCCCGGGCACTTATTACTAGAGTTCTTCCGGGTTTAGAGGGTAAACTTGTTGATGGAGTTCTTCAGATTGTCGCAGCCCGGGCTCGGCCCCCCTCGCTTCTCGGCAGTCTCGCGTTGCTCATGCTCTGCCGCCACGTGGCCTCTATGCAACCTCCTCAACTGCTTGCTCTTGCCCCAGTCGTCGAGGCTCCGCCGCCTCCTCCGACAACCATTCGCATCTGGACTCTCAACATTAACGCACCTGTTGACCTGCCTTGGCGTCCTCAGGGTTACCCGACACGGTGGTTGCGAGAGCTGATGTGCCGTCTACACCATATTGACGATCCCGGCGAGTTCCGGCCCACTCATTCCACCACGGACAGCTCTGTCCAGCATGTCCTGTTCGTGCCGGTCGTCCCTGCCACTCGACCCACGGTCCGGTTTTGGCTGCTCCACTGGGGGGACGCTGCGGCTGTTACTTTCGGGCATTCGCCTTTCAGTTGGGATGTCGTCTCTGCCCATCTCAGAGCTCTCTTCCCGGGGGGCCATTTGCCAGAGCGGAGCCCTGCTCTCTCTTACGCCGGCCAGCTGTACCCGCCAGGGGCTGCCTTGCCTGATTTTCCATCGGGAGCTGTCATTCAGATTTTGATTGGTGCTCTTGCGAGGATCCCGGGCGATGACGACCCTTGGAACCCGGACCCGCTGGTGGTTGAGGGACCTTACTTCCGGCACGTTCCTAGCAGGGGCCCGGCGCTAGAACCGGCCATACTCCTCGATGGACACGGGAACCGACGTGCTGCCGGCGCATCGCATGTCCCTCTGGTTGATCAGGAAGTCCAAACTGACCTCTCAGGCAATGGCACTGGCCTCGATCATGCTACGGTTTCCCGAGTTCACATGCTGTCTCAGGAGCTTTCTTTTCACACTTCACGACTCTGGGCCGGCCTTGCTGAACCCCATGCAGAACCAGCTGGGGAATCGCAACCTGTTCTGCGACTCGCCTCGCAAAGTACCTGCGCTGCGGTGAACCCCTCCACCGTTGATCTGCTCGATATTGCGAGTGTTTCGAGCTGTCGGCGACAGGATAGGCTTTCGGTGGTTATTCTGACCTTAGTATGTACTCGGGGTTACTTTGGAGCTTCAGCATTCGGGCGCCTCCTTGCCCTGGCAACCTTAGGTGCAGGTTCCATCATCAGTGTGCCGCCTGCTAGTTCGGATGACGAACAGTCCGAGGATGAAGGTCCACCGCCTGTCCAAGCCTTCAACATGTCTGCTGCGGAGCCCAACCCGGTCTCTCGCCCTGCTGGCCCACCACCACCAGAGCCTGTCAATGCCCCTTTCCAGCCTCGTATGTGGTACCTCCGCGCCGCCCGGCCGCTGGAGGACTACGCGCTAGGCCTATGGCCGTCTTCAATTGAAAGGGAGCCCGCCGCGGACGAGGACACTGTCCGCCGCGTTCAGGCTGACTTGCTTGGTCTTCAACGTGGCTTGCGCTCCTTTGCTGCCGCTATCCCCCTTGGCACCCCTTTCTGCATTCACAATCCCTTCACCGCCCGACAGCAGTGCGAGCTTGTCGAGTATTCTGCTGGCCCTGAGATCAATCCCTTTGTACTATTCAGGGGACACGCCCGCAGCCGGGGTTGGGCCGATATAGTGCCTCTGCAACCGCAGCCCGATGCTACCGCTGTACACCTCATCGGGTGTCCACAGGCGCCTGGGAACGCCGCTGTCGGTATTGTGCTGGAAGGCCGTCTTGTGCCCTGCTGTCTCCCGGTCTGTGTTGGGACCGCGGCATTACGTGCTCTGCAGCTTGACGGGAGTGAGTACGACCTTCGCCCCCCAGAGGTTCAGGAAGGGTCCTCGGTCGTCCAATTTCGTAATGGCGACTGTCTGGCTGTGAGACCTCGTTCTCAGTCACGGTCTCCTCCCCCGCCGGCCCAAGCCGCCGCCCTTGTTGCACCGACTAGCGAAGCCGAACCTGCTGCCGGCAGCCCCGACATCCCCTTCTCCTCACAAGGTCGCCCCTTTTTGTCTTGGGGCTGCTTCTCCCTGATCTTTTGTCGGGTTACCCCACCAATGCGCCTCTCTCTTGGGCTCCTTGCTGGCGTCGCTCTAGCACAGGGCATGCATAGACCAGGTGGCTTCCCTTGGGGTACTGATCCAATCAACCGGGACTTCTCCGCCATTACGGCGGAGGACCCGGTCTACGTTGTCCTGCACAGTCCTTTCTTGGGGGTGTTTCCCCCATACACAGCCTCCCATGGCACTCGTCACGGCCAAGTCTGGGCCCAGTTCCTCAACGACGACCCAGGATGGGCATCTGACTTCTTTCCTGTGTGGCCGGGCCCCGCCTTCAACGAGTTGTCCATGGTCCCGGTGGGACAAGATGCGGCCCTTGTAACCATAATGCTGATGTGGCGGGGTCACCATCGGGCCACGCTCACTCCGCGGACCATGACAGTGGCGTGGTTGACAGACTTTATCTCGCGCCACATCAACAGCCCCGTTGATGGCATTTCCCTGCCGCACGGGCTCGCGATCTGCGAGCTCTTTGATGTTCCGCCTGCGGCTTTCCGTTTTCGCAACGGCGATGTCGTGTACATCCATGACCCTCCGGAGGACCCTTCTGAGCCGCTCGAGTTTGTCGATCCTTGGCACCTTCAGGATGGCCTTGCAGCTCATCACGCTCCCTGGGCTACGGGCTTTCAACTTATGTTCGGCATTTCTGTACACCTGCTTCGCCCTAATCGCCCACCCCTGTTGGCCTCTGTTTCCGCTGGAGAAGCCTGGTGCCCAGAATCCTTTACGTTCACCGGCACTTTTCGTAACCACTTTCCAGGTATGTGGACACCCGTCCAGTGGTCCAGTGCCCGGGCATTACAACTGATCGAGGTCCACGGTGTCGCGGCTCAGGTTAACGTGGTTGCTGCCTCTCCGGAAGGCCGCCTCTGCCGTACAGTTGACCGGATCGCCTCGCGCGATAGTCTTGCCGATCAGCTGCACTTCCTCCCTGGATCCCTGCAAGTGGGGGGAGTCCCCTCCTACGCTCTCAATCAGGCATGTGAGCTTCGGAATGGGGACGTCGTGTTCGGGGACTTTGCCCGAGGGGCCTGCGGCGGCCGCCCACTTCTGTGGGGTTTGGTCCTGGGCTTAGTTCCAGCTCTCTCCTCCTGTCGAATGGGAACCTTTCTTTCGCTCCTGCTGGGTTCCCTTGTGGCCCATTCCGGCCTTTTCTCTCGTCTCCTCATGCTGACCTGGTGCCTCCCTGGTTCGCAAGCTATGGTTCCGGAAACCTCGGTGTTGAGCCAGACCACATCCTCTGTTATTCCACAAGCTGCTCCACCCAGGGTCCTGGTTACTGTGGCCAACCCTTTTGCGCCATGGCATCGTGTTGAGGCTGACCCACGTCACCTCTTTGACGATGTTATGGCAGACGCCCACCGCACTCTGACATCGTGGCATCGGGGATTTGCTGCCACTGGCCTGGTTTTAGAAGGGTCCCAGGTTGTAGTCCCTCTCCCGGGAAGTAGGCTGGTTTGCCTTATTGTCTTGGGTTTAGGCCAGATGCTCTGTGTCATCCTGCCGTCCTTCCTGACCCCCAGAGACCTCACTCAGGCCCTCCAGATGAGGCTTGGCCGTCGTGTGAGCCTTAAACTCCAGCCCGGACTGGGGGCCACCGTTCACTCCGATCGGCCAGTCCTCGAACTCCGTTCTGGAGACGTTCTAGCTGTCTGCCCTCTGCAACTTGACCCTCTCGCAGGGCCTCGCGAGCCCCCGGTCTACTTGACATGGGGTGCTGCCCATGCTGCCTCGGCCTGGCACTCTGATTTTGTGGTGGCCCAAGCCTCCTGCGTGCTACTGTGGTCCCCTAGCCGCTCAGCTAGGGTCGTGTTGCTGGGCCATCAGGCAGCCACGATCCTGCAGCATGAGGTGGAGCTTGGCCATCACCGCTGGGCCCCCTGCCATGGACACCTAGGTGCTCCCCCCTGGCTCGTCGAGCAGTCTTCCACTCCGGGGCATGCCAACATTATTCAGTCTAGTGGGGCCACAAGGTGTGTTGAGACCGCTCGGGACGCTGCGCATGATTTCTACATTGCCGGGTTCTCCCTCCGACCTGCTTCCAGTCGGGCTTGTCAGGTTGCTCAGACCAGGGACGGAGACTGGTGGGTCCTTTCTGCTGCCTTCGGTCTCCTGGGGAGGCGTCCTCTCCTCCCTGCCCAACTTGCCCTTATCTTCTTCGGGCTTCTTGAACCAGCGTGGGGAGCGTCCTCGAGTGCCTCTGACCGCTGCCCCAGCGCGGACTCTTCCGAGGCGCGTACCATCCGCACTAGGCGACGGCCCAGCAGAAGTCGCTCACCCTCATCCCTGGCCTGGGAGGTTCTTTCCCCCTGCCATTGATTTCAATGATGGTGAGCCTTATGTACCGCTAGGTGGTTGGCAGCCCGATAACCCCGATGGCCCTCTTGCACGTTGCTTCCCTGGTCCCCGACCACTCACGGCTCGTGTTTTGTGCCCCCTGCGGGGATGGAGCGAGACCAGCTTCCTCGACACGACCAGATCATGGAGGTCTATCGAGCAGGAAGGTACGCGCCACTGCGGGCTTTGGGCCCATCGCTTTTTCCCTGTCCGGGCGGTCCTCCCAATCTCCCAGATCACAATCGCCCCGGTTGCCCCATACGGTCTTGCCACTGTGGCCCTGCACATTGAGGGTTGTTCGGCCGTTGCTCTTGCCTCGGTTGACTCGTCTCTTGATGACATTCACCGGCTTGCTGTTCGCGTCTTTCCTCACACCCGGTTTTGGCGAGTCATCGCGCCACCTGTGCTGCGCACTACTATCCCGAATGTGCATATCAGGCTCCGCAACGGAGACGCTTTTAGCCTCCTTCCCGAGCCTTCCGACCCCGGTGCTACCCGTTATCCCTTGCTGCAGTATGCCTCCCTGGAACGGGCACGGCAAGTTGCCAGCTGGTCGCTCCCCTTTCGATTCGACTCGGGCGGATACGTCTGCTTGTGGTATACGGGCCGTCGATCTGGCCATAGCATCCGGATCAGAGATACCGGCTATTGGGATCCCGAGGGTCCCACCTTCTGGAGTCTTAATGGCAGAGCGCTGTCAGGGTCATGGGTCCCTGTTCTCTCTGGGGATCTATCCAGTCTGCACCTGGTGCACAGCACCTCCACTGGTGAGGCCCATGTCCTCCTCTTAATCTTGAGCCTCAGGGGTTGTTGCTCGCTGGTTGCAATGCCTTCCGTGCACCGCCTGGGTGGCGCCTTCTACCCGCTCTGCAGTACGTTCGGGCTGACAGTCCTCTCCGAGATGGGGATGTTCTTGTGCTGGACCCGACTGCTGATACGGTTTGGGACCCTACCGGACCGCCCCTGCAAAGCCTTGCGGGTCCGGCCCCGGGCCCTGCTGCGCGCCCACGTTGGGGGCCCTCGTCCTCTGTTGCCGCGGCCATTTCTGGCCGCTGGGTCTGGCTTGCTGTCCTTTCCGCCAGATGGCCCCGGCTTCTCGCCCTTGCTTGCTTGGTTGGTGCCGGTCAGGGCATGATTCCCGCTTTAGATTTGCCGGAACAGCCCATACGAGTGGGTTTCTTCCCGTGGCGGGCCCCAGCCGCTGCGGCCGATCTGGTTGATCTCACCAACCGCACAGAGATTGACATTGTCCTTCTTAGTCCCTTCACAGGTCCCCAGGAGGCTGGGCGACTGCCCACTGCCTCGACTACTGAAGAGCTTAATGCTCTGACACGCTCCTGCGACCCAAATTGGGGTGCTGAAGTTGCACCTGTGTGGCCGACAGCTGCCATACCGGCCCTACTGGTTGTTCCCCGCCCCCCGACACCTGACCTTGTCTGCTTAGCGGTCTCCTCCTTAGATCGGCACTTCTCTATCCTGGTGCCTTGCACTACCTCTGTGTCCTGGATGAGCGCGGCTCTCCGCTTCTTACAGCCGATGCAAACTCTCTCTGTTCGCGCACCCAGTGCTCTCACAGCCGATGCCACATCTGACCAAGAAGTGCGCTGGCGCTCTGGAGACCTGGTTGTTGCACTTCCTCCTGCAGCTTTTGCGCCCGAATATCAACCCCCGTGCTTTCACTCCGACGCTCAAGTGCGGCATTGCGCCATCTGGGCTGTTGACTTTTCGGTCTCCACCCGCGTCAGCTTCATACTCTAGAGGCCCGCTGTTCGAGCAACCCGGGGACACGCGCCGGCAGGCAGCCGCTGGCGCGCTCTTGACTATACTTTTGACGGTGACTTTAGCCTGCATTATCCTGGGCGTTGGGTTCCGGTTCCCTGGATCGCCCAGGATCACGCCCACTTGGTTTTGCTGCCGGAGGACCCCACGCGGGTCAATGTCATTGTGGAAGCAGACGGCCATTGCTGGTGTGCCCTTGTAACAGCCGTTACTGATGCCTGGCAACTCTGGACTGAGCTCCCATCTATCTCCTCTCAGCCCCGCGTCCTTGGTGTCCCACACCAGGAACTGCGCCAAGGGACGACCCTTCGCAGCGGCGATGTTGTTTCCGGCTGCCCAGGGCTCCTCCCCCCCTGTTGGCTCCCCTGCTCTCTGGGGCTTGCGGCTTGGTGGGCACTCGGCTTTGCCTCCTCGGCCCCGGGCTACTTTCTCCTGCTTGCTTGGTTGTTCGCTCTCCCTCCGGTGTCGGGGGCGCGTCTTCCCCACGAGGGCGGCAGTCGACAGTGGTCTCTGGCTGCGTCAAGCTGCGACGGATCAGCTGCCGAACCGCCTGGCTTTCGCCACCGCCTCTGGGACCCTGCTAGGGGCCTCCTTGGACCTTTTCCGGGACCATCTTTGTTTGTCCCGCCTGCTCTACAGGAGGCCGCACCAGCTTGGTCCGATTTCACCAGGGTCCGTCCACCTCAAGACCACCGGTTCATTGATTGGGTCCCGGTACCTTCGGCTCCGTTGTTTGCCACTGTTCTGATCCAATGCCCACCTGCCACTAGAGCTGCACTTCTGCCCGCTACCTGTGCTGTGGCTGATCTTGCTCGAGCCAGCAGACACTCTATTCCTGACCTGTCATACGTCTTGGCTCCGCCAGAGGCTTGGTGCGGTACTGCCACGACTTGTAATCCCACCTTATTCCTCCGATCTGGTGATGTCCTGACTCTGGCCAGCGCCACGTGGGCACCGCGCCTCCGCTCACCCGTCGGGCGGTTCTGGGAAACTCTTCTCCAGGCTCGTCAGCTAGCCTTCTGGGGCAGCCCCTTTCGCATCAGGCAGCCTGGACTTCTCTTTGCTTGGACCCCGGGAGATCCGGTCCCGCTTACTGTCCCCACTACCAGTGATGAACAGTGGGATCCTGAACATTGCACTTTCCGCCCTTCTTTGGTCCGGTTCAGTGTTGGCCGCTGGATTCCAGCAGCCCGTGTCGACGACCTTGGGCTTCACCTTGTCCCTGAAAGCCCTAATCTACATTGGGCCCATGTCTTGCCTGCCCAACCTCCCCTAAGCGTTCGCGTGGTGCCTCGCCATGGTGCAGATGGACTCCTGCGGGATGGTGACAGCGGCTCCCCTCTGGGCAGCGCTCCCTCCCGCACTTTGCTTCCGTTGCTTGCCAGCCTGGTCGTTCACGGGCGCCTGGGTCGGCACTGGTTCTTTCTTCTCAGTGCTTGGGTTATTCTGGCTGGGCTGCCCGAGTTGTTTCCGGGTAAGATGGCCCTAGGTTTCCCGCCGGTCCCCATTAATGCCCTTGTTCGGACCCCAGGTCCATCGCTTAATGAAGTGGATTTCGGGCTGCTCTCCCGCACCAGTTGCTATCTTCGTGCATGGGGGGCGCCAGATTGGCACAGCCCGGATGGAATCTCCTGGGCGGCAGATATCCATCAGGAGTGTGCCGCTCAAGCCTCCTTGCACCAGTTGTGGTGGATGCACGACCTCTTCCCGAATCTCCCGCCAGCGCCTTATCGCCAGGCCTTCTCCAGCTTCCCACTCTGGTCTGGAGGTGTACCCGATCAGGTTCTCATCGCCACTGATGGGAGCGGCGAGCGGGGAGGAGCATGGGCCTTCTGCGTATGGGTCTGGTGGCGTCACAAGTGGCACCGGGTTGGTTGGTTCGGCGCCGCGGGGGCCGATACCCCTTGGATCTCTGGCACTGCGGCCCCCGGGAGTGGTGTCCCCTTTCAAGCTGAGCTCTGGGCCCTGCAAGCCGCGGGCCTCTGGCTCCTCGCTTGGGCCGACCGTCTCTCCCTTCTGACGTCGCCACCGCCTGCCAAGGTCACCATTGCGGTTGACAATGCCTCTGCGCTCCAGATCGCGGCTGGGCAAGCGCAGGCCAGTGAGCCAGTCACCACCCTCACTCGATATATCTGGCAAGCTGTCCAGTCCCGCATGTCCACTCGCTTTCAACACGTGCACAGCCATGTCGGCATTCTCCCTAATACGATCGCCGACTTTCTCGCTGGCTGGGCCGGCCGGACTTCGTGGCATCCCTGGAAACGTGTCGATGCTGCCCTCCCCGCCCTGCTGCAGGAAGCGGCGCCTTAGCTCTGGCTCATTCCACATGCCAAGGTGATCCAAGGCAGACCCTGTGTCCGCCTCACCGCACAATCACTCCCCCATGCGCCAGCCGGTCGAGGGTCCGAGGTCCAGTGCCCTCCCCCCGAGGTGCCCTGTGCTGCTCCGTCGCTAGAGCCCCAGCGACCGTTGTCGCTAGCACCCTCGCTTTCCCTTCGCATTGTTACGGCTAACGTTCAAACAATGCGAGATTCTTGTGCCTCCTTCTTTAACCCGTCGGGTCATGGCCAGCGGCGTCAATACTTGTACTCTCAAGTCGCCCAACTGGGCCTCGATGTAGTCTGCCTTCAGGAGACGCGCAGCAAAGGAGGCCGATGGGACACAGCCGGCCTTCTCACCTGGCGCTCCGGTGCCCAAAAAGGTAGCTACGGTTGCGAAATTTGGATTAGGCCCCAGCTAGTTAACCCCCCCCTCCGCCTGGATGACTGGCGCATTGCCTGTGCAGACCCAAGACTTTTAGTCATAGTCTGTAAAAGGGCGGACCTCCCTTTGGCCGTTGTCGCGGCGCATGCTCCACACGCCGACAGACCAGTGCCCGAAATCCACCACTTTTGGTCCTCACTGCAATCTCAGCTGTGCCAGCTCCCACGGGCCCTCACTTTGGTCCTGGGTCTCGATGCTAACGCTGATCTTCTTTGGGCCGATGATGACCATGCATATATCGGAGATGCTCTTGGTAATGGCGAGGAAGGAGCGGGCGAGCAAGGCCTTTTTGATACCATCCAGCGTTTTGGCCTCCTTGCCCCTGCCTCCTTCTCGGACCTTCAAGCTGGTCCTGGGAGCATACTGGCGGCACCCGCAAGCGTCTAGATCACATCTTGCTCCAGGCTGGCCCCTGGTCCTGCCGTCGCACCCGACAGCTTCCTGAGCTGGACATTCTCAATGGTCGTCGGGATCATATGCCGCTTCTGGTAGAGTGCGACCTCCGGGGCCAGGCCACCCGGCCCAAGGCGCCGGCCCCGCCCCGTGCCACTGTGCACCAGGCACGAGCCATCGCTGCCGATCTTTGGGGAGCTCTGCCGTCTACCCTCAGGCACATCGATAGCGTGGGCGCCGAAGTGCAGGCTCTTAAAACCCAGCACTCCTCCTTGCTTCGGGCCCTTCCTCGCCCTCCACGCCGCCCCATCCGACAGCCCTACATCACAGCGGCCTCTGTCACCGCACTCGATCGAGTTCGGCAGGCGCGAGAACAGCTCCCCCGGCTGCGAACTAATTTGGAGTGGCAGCAGCGCCGCTTTCTCTTGCAAGTGTGGCGACTGGGTTGCACACACCGACACCCCGATGCTGCACCCTTGCGCCCTGATCCGACGGGCCTGCAACATGCCCGCCTTCTTCTCCAGGCTTGTAATCTCCATGTACGGGGTCTTCAGCAGAAGGCCCACTATCTAGCGAGGTCCGACAAGCTGGCTCATTTCCGCACACTTACTCTGGAGGCGACCAAACACTGGGAAGCCACCGGAGTCCCTTTGGAATCCATCCGGCATCTTCGCTGGGCCTCTCGCAAGGCACACGAACGTCGGTCTGTTCACGCAGCCGGTGGCTTCGACATTGATAGCGAGTTGGAGGCCCAGTTCCGCGACCAGGAGGGGGCCAGTCTGGTCAGCCCAGTGCAGCTCTCCAGCGCCGCTGAGCGATGGATGAACGAACCGCGCCTCCCGTGTGCCGAGGCGGTTCCCACCCTCCTGCAGATGGAACAAATGTGTGTCCGTCAGGCGGCCGCCAAGGCCCCAGGACCAGACGGACTGCGGAACGAGCTCTGGCGCACGCAGGGAGCCTCTGCAGGGCAGTGGCTCTGGCCCCTGTGCGTGCGCATCGCTCTCCAAGGAAGGGAGCCTTTTGACTTTAAGGCGGCCATTGTATGCGCCCTTTACAAGAAGGGCCCAGCCTCTCTCCCTGCTAATTACCGCTCTATCGCGCTACTGAATGGCATCGCGAAGCTATGGCACTCGCACCTGCGCTCCACTGTGGGAGGCCACGTCTTGTCGCGATACGAGCCTATGCAGCTTGGGGGCCGCAAGGGTGTCCACACAGGATTTGCGTTGGCCGCCTTCCGTTGTGCCTGGGACCTTTCCATCTCAGCTGGCCGATGTGTTGCCGTGGTCTTCGTCGATATCCAGGCCGCGTACTATGAGGCCAGCCGGGATCTCCTCTTTGAAGGCTTCCCTGATGACACTGCCCTGCCAGAGCATCACCACCTTGCTGGGCTGGTGCTCAGTCTTCAACAACAAGGGGCCCTTACTGCCTTGGGTGTTGCAGAGGATGTTGTTGCACTCCTCCGTGACTGTGTCGCCCTCTCCCACTGGTCACTCTCTGGCTCTTCCAACATTTTTCTTGCGTCACGGGGGTCTCGTCCAGGTGATGGCCTAGCCGACATCCTCTTTGGAGCCCTTTTCGCTGTTGGCCTTCAGCATATCCAGCGCGCTGCCACCCGTCAGGGAATTGTTCACACCAGCGCCGGTGCTGAAGTTGGCCTCTCCCCAGGGGTCAAGCCCATCGGCTGGGCTGACGACCTTGCAGTTATGGCCGATTTTGACCGACCAGCTGATCTTCTTGTTCAACTGCCCGCGCTGGTCGGCATTATCCTTGACACTCTCCGACTCCTCCGATTTCGTGTTAATTTGGGTGCGGGTAAAACTGAGGCCCTTGTTGACATCCGGGGGGAGGGCGCTCGAGCGGCCCGTGGAGCTCTCCTCACCGGTGATGCGATGTTAAAGATCTCTGACTCTGACAGCATCAAGTTGTGTCCCGAGTACAAGTATCTGGGTGTGGCTCAGCTGCCTCGGGATACGGGCCGCCGCGACTGTGAGCTTGCCGCCCAACGAGGCGCCGCTGCGGCCTCCCTTGCTCGCACTCTCCTCTGCAGCAATTGCTTGCCCTGGGAACTTAAACGGGCTTGGGTCGCGGGACGAGTCCTGCCCTCTGCTTATTCCTCCCTTGCTATGTCTCTGGCCGACTCCGGCCGTGCCACGGCCCCTCTCGCTGGCCTTTTTGAACGCACGGCCAGGATCCTGCTGTCCTCATGGCAGGTTGGGCACAAGCTCACCACTCCACTGCTCCGGCTCCTCGCTGACATTACTCCTCCTGACCTGGCTACCACCATCAGTCAGTGTCGCCTCTGCGTCCAGCTTTTCTGTAAAGCACCCACGGCGGTGCGTGACATCGTCGATGCGGCGTGGAACAGGGCCCTCCCTTGGTGCCAGGCCCTCGTCGCGGCATGTATGAGGGTAGGCGTTGCGCTTGAGGTTTGGGACCCTAATTCCCCCCCCGCCGTTACAGCTCTGTTTGTCCAAGACCACAGCCGTGCTCTTCTTCGTGCCTGCAAGGCACTCAGCAAGTTTGGACATCGGTACATTGCCTGTGCTCAGCTTTGGGATGACCTTTCTACCCGTAAGGCCACCCTAATTTTAGGACCCCCCCAGGCCCATCGATGCCCTGTGTGCAGCATCATCTTCCCGAGCCTGCACGCGGTCCGAGCCCACATGCATCGCAAACATGGTGTGCTGTCCGATGTGACAGCTTACATGGCCGGCTCTGTCTGCCTCTGGTGCATGCACGACTTCCACTCTTCGGACCGGTTGAAATACCATCTGCAATCCCACCGGGCCTGCTTGCATGGACTGCGGGTGACGGTGGGGCCTGTCTACCAGTATGGGTCGGGCACTAAACGCAAGGGTAGAACGGCCCACAGGGGTGTTCCCCCACAACGCCTATGCGGGCCCTGCAATGCCACCCCAGCACAGCGCCGGGCCGCGGATTTGGGTCTGCCTGCTGATGAGGAGGAGCTGCAACAGGAGTGGGATGCGGTGCAACGTCCGCCGGCCCTCTCCGACCTCGTCCCCGGCAATTTGCAACGGGCCGCTGCGGGGTCCTCCCTCGCTGCTCCAACCCTTGCCGAACTTGGATTTCCCCTCGCCACGGCCCCAGTCTCGGAGCCCTCCCTGTCCCGCATTGCTCCACCCTTGTCATCTGTGGGCTCTCTGCCCCCTTGGCTCTCCTTTGTTGATGGGGCTGCCGCAGGTCTTTCGGCTTCCTTCATCGTGGCATGGCTTCTGGCCCTTGTGGTCGGCCTTGGAGCTCCTTGCTCCTTGGGAGTTCCGGGCCTTCCGGTCGCTCGGCGTCCTCCGTCGCGCCTCGTCTTCCGGGCTTGGTGCTCCTGTGTCTCTCGGCGATGCGACCTCCGGCAGATGGTCTCTGTTGGGGATTGCTGCCGCCTTGGTCTCCTTCCGTATGACCTGCAAGGTCGTTCTGCGGTTTGGCGCCCTTTGGATTCCCGGGCGTCCCAGTCAACAGGGCCTTGTCCTCTTGCGGCGGTTGCTTCCTTCTGCCGTCTTCCTGGACTTCTGGTCCCCTGCTGGTCCTGTGTTTCTGGCTGCGAGCTCTGCTTCCTTGGCCTCGTCTGCTCGCGCCGTCATCGCCGGTTCTTCTCTTGCGGCCCCGTCCTCGCTCTCCGTGCGAGCTTTCTGGGCCTATCCGGCTGCTTGAGGCCTTCCGTTTTTTGTACAGGCTCCCGCTTTGTCTTTGTCATTTAGTTTGGCTACGATCCTACAGCAGGATCGTTTTTGGCCTTGCATGCTTTGGTTAGCACAGGATTTCCCTCTGGCATCAGTGAAGTGAAGTGAAGTTTGGGGGTTTAGGGGCTCAGGGTTTAGGGATTCACAAAGAGCTTTGGGTGTCAGGATTGGAGTACGAGTTGAGGGTCTGGGTCTTCAGGTGTTAGGTTGCAAGGATGAGAGTACGAGCTTAGGGCTTGGGTTTCAGGGGTGTAAGGATCAAAGTAACACCTGCTAGGGCCCAGGGTCAGGAGTCAGTCGGATATTCCTCAGCTCAGGGTTCTTATAAAGCTCCTGGCTCTGGCTCCAATGGCAAGCCTGGGCACAAAAAGCGGCTCTTCAAGCTCCCACCGGAAGGTCGCAGACGACGTCCGCTGGATCAAGGGCTGAGGGACCCCAAACCCCAAACTCTAATGGGTCCCAAAGGCTCCATCTACCCATATAGTAGGTACTTCGGCCTGAACGTACCCATATGGGGACCCCTTTAAGGCCTACTATATGGGTACATGGAGTCTTAGGGGGTTCGGCCCTGAAACTGGGACCAAAAGGTGGCTACCTGTGACGAGTTTGATCACGACGATTTGCCTGCGTGTCATGTTTGAGCTTCCAGGCCGACCTACTTGGAGGCCCAGGGGACTTAGTAAGTAGGTTATAAGTCGGGTCATAAGTACCCTAAATGGAGTTACCCCAATTATAGCCCTACATATAACCTACTTACTAAGTCCCCTGGGCCTCCAAGTAGGACTTAGGATGTGTGCGACTGACAGAACAGGTTCGAGCAGCGAGCCTTTGTGCTTAGCTTCGCGTTCTGCAAAACACCAGAGTAACGGTTGATGACATAAATCCTGCACTACCCGCAATAAGGGATATGCCATAATTCCCATAGTTTAGGGTCCTTAAGGTAATGCAGGATTTATATCATAAACCGAATCACTGCTCTCACAGACACCATACTTGTTGCCGTTTCATGCGGCATATCCTTCATTTAAAGGCCGTCGTTTGCAGAACTCCAGAAGGCGGCACATGTGCGAGAGAGGGGATTGCAGGCATGAGCCAGCATTCATCTTAAATTTAGGGCCCTAAACCCCTAAACCCCCAAACCCCTAACCCCTAAACCCCCTAAACCCCCTAAACCCCTAAACCCCTTGGGGTTTTTTTGGCGCCAGCCGCTAGCCCTGACCTCTGATCCCTATGCTTTAACAGAGTCTTTTTTCTCGGGCCATGTTTTCTTTTTGAGTGTCGCGCTTTGAAGCCCCAGGCTCAGGTACCCTGGAACCCGAAGCCCTAAACCCTAAAGCCCCAAAAGCTTACAACCCCAAGCCGTAAACAGTCTCAAACTGCCCTAAAACCTAAACAGTTTCGGAACCTTGGGCCTTTGCCACCTTGGTACTTTAATGTAAAGGGCTTGGGACTTCCGGTTCCGACCTGTAGAGTTATAGGTCTAAAGACCATCGTAATACGAGTGTCCACACGGGTTATACCATGTACTGCATTACCAAACCATCGCAAGATATCGCAAGCCGGCGGCAGCCCAGAGCATCACGAACAGAAACTCGTGGCATGAGGCTTGTGTCAGTGTCAGGTGTAGGACAGTTGTATTCTGGAATTTGGGTGTTTGTGGATGCCAGGTTTGTTTTTTTCGGTTGAGGGTGAATCTTAGAAGTTCAGTTACATGTACAGGAGGTGACTGTCTCTGAGCCCCATATACGACATGAGGCTATTCACTCAGCAATGTATATGCCAAAAGTGCAGTAGCCTCTTGCGCCCCAGCTAGGCTAAACAAGGAAGCAAGACCACGAATCAAATGAAGCCCATCCCCTGAAACATCAGTTAAAAGCCTACACCCTGGTCCGCAAACCCCCAGAGAGCCCAATACCCCTTAATTAAGCAATAGAGCTTAAATCATAATATGAAGCCCTATATAATTTAAGCCATATTCCTTAATTAAGGGGTTTTGGGCTTTCTGGGCCCTGAGCCTTAACCCTGACCCTCATGTAGGGGCCTTAGCAACAACCGCCCTGAACCCCTACGACCCGTTTAATGCTAAGAAACCCTGCAACCTTCCGTGAACCCTATACCTGTAAACCCCAGACCCTAGAATCCAACCCCAAAGCCGCAACTTAAAACCCTATATGCTGTAGCTACAGCTAAAGCTTAAACCCTAAACCCCTAAACCCTCAACCGCCCGCAGGTGTCAAGTGAAGCGGCCCTGGTACAGACTGGAGGCGGATGCACAGATGAAGTGGGCTCGGTCCCTCAGTCATGTGGGTAGTTGTCAACATGATGGTCCCTTTTTGGGTGTCCTTATTATAATACGGCACCTACTATTTAGGGTACCCATTAGGGTCCCTTTTAGGGTACCCCAAAAAGGGACCCTAATTTTGACAACTACCCATGGGGGAGTCTGCAGCTCGCGATTTGGGAGGTTTCGGAAACTAGGGGGCCCGAAGATGATACCCTAAATGGTAGGATCCTTATTATAAGGACCCCCAGAATAAGGTACTCCTAAGTTTCGGAAACTCCCATTTAGGGGTGTAGCAGCTGATTTAGAGGATTTAGAGGGTATAGGGCTTGCACGGCTTTGGGTTCAGGGCTTGGGATTGAGGCTGTGGGTTGTAGGGATCTAGGGCTTGGGATATAAGATTTGGGTCGTAGGGTTCAGGGTCACAAGTTGGGTTTCTGGAGCTTGGACCCAGTGGCCTTCGGGTTCTATCCCAAAGGGTCCACGTAGTGGTATAGTACATATACTTCGGGGGCCCAAACACCCACTATAATGGTACACGCACCTTTTGGGTATAAGGCTCCGCAAGAGTGTTTTGCGTTTAACAGGGTTCATGATCAAGAAGAGTGAGTGGGAATCTTCGTTGGCGGCGTTCGTTCGGGAGGCTGCTAGCCTTCGAGACAATCGTCTGGCTCTGGCGCGCTTCAATTTTAGTAGCTCATGAGTACGCGACCTTTAACCTGACCTTTTAAAGTCTGAAACATATATATATATATATACTGACACCATGATTGAAATTTGTGAAGCTTTTTCGGGGCTTGGGGTGCAGTGTTGCAGATGTTGAGTTTGAAGCACTGTATAAAGATCCTCCGTAACAGCAGAACAGGTTCTGAGATATCCCCTGCGGCGACCTCACATCCCAAAATCCTAACCTCCCAGACCCGAATGAATCAAAGCCGTAATTACAGTCATTATCCCGTTGTAATTCTTATTGTAGGCTATGCTATGCGACAACCCCCAAGCCCTGTTCGATATAGGTTTTTTGAGACCGGCATATGTTAAATCCTGGCAACCCAAAGCCGTGATCCTTGCAGTCCAGGACCAACAAGCTTGAAACCCTCACACCGGACCCGAAACTCAAAACATCTAGATCCGAACGCCCAACCCCTAAACCCAAGCAGCAGACGAGGTCTGTGTAGCATCCTGTCCTTGCACTATCCAAGCCAGAAGCTCGGGACGTTTGAGACACCATTCCTACGACTGGTTTACGGTAAACCCCATAGAGTTGGAAACCGGGTTAAGGCCGAATAGTGCTGGGATTCCCTATAACCTACTCTTAAGGATGGAGGCTATTGGGTTTCCAACTGTTGGGCTTCTACTGTAGGTTGGGTACTGCCCCCACTCAGTAACAGTTGGATAATATTCATAATGCAGATATATTCGGACATGAGTAGTAACTTAGCCCAATTTTAGACTGTTTCTGTATGAGGGCAGTACCCCAGGTTTAGGGTTTTAGGTTTTTTGGGTCTCGGAGTTAGGGTTTTGGAGGCGCCGTGGTCGAAGACTTTCTTCAAAGCTTTGTCAACCTCAAGAGACTTTACAAGGAGATCCTGATTGTGAGAATATGAGCCTAACGAGACTTCACAAGGAGGGCCTGGTTGTGAGAATACGAGTGGCAGGAACTGATTTTTGATCTTTAACACGACATTCTTGCAATGCAGACCCCTTGGGCCCCACTGGAGAGCTGTCACTGTGCTTTTTCTGTCACTCGGAGCCTCAAAACACCGAAGCACAACCTCAAAACCCAAGGCCTTAAACCTGAATTCCCGAAAGCCCTAAATAGTTCAACCACTAAATGCCGCAAAACTTATCCCATTCTCGATGGGCCAGAGCCGATGCCCCGAACCCCAAACCTTGCGTAAATCCTAGAGCCCTAAATCCATACACCCCTACGCTCCAGAGATCCCTACACTACGGGTCCAAACAGACTCGAAGGCAATGCTGCTCAAGCCGACTGAGCCCTGTAGGCGTACAAAACTGTCAGCCTAAATGTAGCCTAAGCCCTATGAGCCTATAACCATATATAATATGAGTATACCGTAGACCTCAAATTCGCTGGAAGTCTTCGTGTTAGGCAGAACTATTCTTTTGTTTGCAAAATACCCGTCTCGAAAATAGAAGTGTTTTGGGTTCCTTATAAGTACGTTATGACGGCGGAAATGTCCGCTCTTTTGATAAATTAAACACGAACAACATCGGAAATAGATACAACCGAACCTCCAACAGAAATGACCGTCTGAACAAGACCTAGGTGGCCGGAAAATAGAACCCCAGTTTACGTAGGTTGTCACTCTTGTTAAGTCTATGTGTTGCCTGTTTTTCCGGGAACCAAAGTGAAAAGTAGCGCACAAGTGGGAAACCCCATGACATTAATCGGTTTTGCTCAAGAAACCTAGGAGCTACTTCTCAAAACGTAGGAACAACAGGCAAGCATGGGAAACCTAAGATTTATTCGGCTCTTCTCTGAGAACCAATAGTTTCTGTCCGTTCCTGGGTTTTACCTATGGTGTTCCGTGTTATTGGGTCGATTTTTTGGGTGTGTTTAGCTACGAATTGTCCACTCTCCCTTCGCCGCAATCAGTTTGTATGTTTGGAAACCTACCGGTTCCTACTTAGTTCGGATCTTGAGTCGAATCTGATTATTCTCCAAATCGGGACATGTCCGTCCGCATCGCAGTCTTAAAACTCCGGCCGACTGTGCTCTAAACCCAAAGCCCGAGGCAACCCCTAATGAAGCACCATACCACAACACCACGTTGAAGGAGCCTCCTGTTCCGTTTACACAGGCCTTACAATTCCTTAGAGCAGTGCCCCGGTGGCTGCTAAGGTCCCTAAGAGAACTACATGGCCAAACACTCATCCCTATTATCATTATCGCTCTGGAAGCCCCTCCTACAAGATTGCTGCAGTCAGCGCCCAGGTCGGCGGACAACGAGGGTTCTTCGAGCTCTTGGCGGTTCTAAAGAGCCGCTCTCTCGCGCGATCAGAGGAATGGAAGTCCAAATTGAGTCATTTCGGGATCTATGGTGGGATGTAGGGATTCAGTGGCTCAGGGTTTAAGGAGTAAGGGTTTAAAGCTTAAGCTTTGGTGGAGTCAGATTAGGGATTCAGGGTTCGTAGAGAAGGTGTTAGTAGGACCTTGCCATACTTGGAGGTTCATGGGTAGTTATATGTCGGGTCATCAGTAGGGCAAGTATACTTATAATAAGCCATACGGCTGATGGACAAAATCCTGGATTACCCATTTTCAGGAATCAGGAATATACCATAGTTCCCATAGTTTAGGGTCCTTAGGGTCATGCAGGATTTTGTCCATCAGCAGTATGAAGGTACTTAACTCCCTAAACCCTAAACCCTAAACCCTAAACCCTAAACCCTAAACCCTAAACACTACCCCTGAACCTCCAAGTAGAGGCCTTTGGGTCGAGCTTTGATCCTGAGGGAATGTTTTGGAAGCGACATTTCTGGGTCCTTTAGGGTTTGGGGTTTAGGGTTTAGGCCCTATACATCCTCTTTCAGGTGTTAGCAGTTTTTTGCATATTGTCACATGGATTAGATTACGCCTAAGGGGATCATATTCCAGGCGGTACCAGAAACTCTGGTTGCCTGCCGTGGGTGCCGCACTCTGTATCAATCACCAAGCTTTGCGGAAAAGATGAACGGTTGTGCAGGGTTCAATGGATTCAATGACTGCTACTGAAACATTAAATTCAGATGTGCATTGCACAAATCACAAATGGCTTTAGATTTGGCACTTCTTGGGCCCATTTGCCCGTATTTACATAAGCAAGCTTTGCAGCCAATCCCTAAACCTCAACCCCGAAGCCCCAACCCGAATCCCTGATTGCGAAACCTGGTTCTCTAAACCCTACCTAGACCCGGGGCCCTAAACCGTAAAGCTGAATCCCTAAACTTAAGCCCTCACAGCCTTGTCCTTTTTCATGGTTCCCCCAAAAGAATAAACAGACCGGCTAGTAGACCTTAAACAATTCCTACTAAGGGATTTAGGCAAAGGGCTCTGTCTGTTATTTCTAAAAAAGCAAGGGTGAGCCCTAAGGCTTTACCATTCTGTCAAGCTTCAGAATTTCGGAGCCTCGAAGGCCTAAGTCTTACAACTCCCGAGGGCCCTCGCTGCGCACACTAGGGTTTAGGGGTGTAGGAGTTTAGGGGCCTAGGATGTAGGGACACCAAAGACCCCGAAGTTCCAAACCCCACACCCGAAAAGACCCAAACACTGAGACCGAACTACTGAGGTGGTTTAGGGTTGTAGGGTTTAGGATTTGGGATTTACCCTAACGCTCTTTTTGAGTTGGGGTCTTCAATCAGAAAGGGGCCTTCGGGTTCGATTTGTCCAAGGACCCAGCAAGGACCCTGAAGGCCCATGACATCCAAGACCCTTCCAGGCGAAGGCCCCTTGCAGTGATCAAGTGTTCGAGTCGATTCAAACTTACGAGATTAAGGCTAAAAGAGGTGTCAACTCAAGATTGTGGGTTGTTGCAATGTCATATGTCGGTCTTATGTATCCAAGTCATGGTCTGAGCCTGCGAAGATCTCTTCCCAAAAGATGGAGAGTCTAATTTTTGGACAACGTGTAGCCAGTATAACCCTTGAAAGGCACGTTGCTTGAAACCCTTCAAACCCTGAACCTAAGTAAATTCCGCCTCGGCTGCCCATGCGTTTTCATGCCGCGCTTCAGCATCGACCTCTTCAGAGCTGGGGCCCGAGTTTTCGAGCCAGCTTCACAAGTCTCATCCTCAAGAAGCACTGATATCTTTGGATAGTGCGTAGACTTACTGTAGTGCGGTGGGCAGTCCTTAGCTGCATTGGTTGACATCTGAAGACACACATACGTACATACATACAAGTTGAGGAACCCATTATTACAGAACTACAGAACCATGCGTTCCATATTAAGGCCAAGTAGCCTTGCCATTCGTCCAATAAGCCCGACCCAGCTTTCAGCTGCGAGTAAATTGTAGCCGTTCAAATTCACGAGTGTGTCCCTTGCTTGGTGCAAGGCATGCCAAAGATGATGATGTTTTGGCAAGATCGTCCATGAGCTTCTGTTCGGGGTTTTTCCTCGTGTAACTTCAGCACTCAGAGCACGAAGCCGGGCGTATGTTTGAAGGTGGCGAATGCCAGCATCGTACAAACGATCAGCTTGGTCTCGACTCATAACCAAGGGCGCCTCATCCATCATCTTCAGCATCGAAGCATAAGACTGCGTGCACAAAGCCACGAGCTTCTCGACGTCCGATGCACCATCTCGCTGACCTCGTTCCATACATCGGCTTGCAAGCCAAAACGAAATGACTTTTCCTGACACAGCTTTCGAAGCCAAACACGGATGGGTTGCTCGATTCTTTCTGTTCAAGCGAGAATAAGTAAAGCGAGGTTGGTTCACCTTCAACCCAGCTTGTTTCACCCACGTCTTGAACTCGACATAAGCAGCTCGAAGCGCTGCATTCATATTGACAGTGTATAAGCCACGAGGCGGGAATGTGCCATTCGGGCTGAACTCACCCGATTCACAAAGAAAGGTGAGGGCCGACCCATTCAAGGTCTTCCCTGTCCCAAGGAGTTGTGAATGTGCCACATCATGAAGGAAGCGCTCTAAGCGCACGCCGTAAATCATCGGTTCAGGCCATTCTTCCAGCCCCCTTTGCTCGCAGAAATCCTCATGAGACACGTGAACAAACTCATTTGCTTCGGTGAAGCATGCAATGGTTTTGCACGGATTCGGATCATTCTTTACTGCATTGCAAAGACTGCAGCACGCATTCTTTGTGTAGTTGTGTAGGTCATAGCGACTTAGCAGCCATTTCAAATCGCCTTGCACCCCAGTCAAGACAAATCGAAGACCACGAGAGCACCACGGGTTTTTCTGCGGATCCACCTCACACATATCATGGAAGCGTGGCAGCAGGGCCTGCATCAAATCCCGGTAGGTGTGCTCGCAAGCACAGTATTCAGAAAACACAGTGCACAACATATAGTGAAGAAAGGCTTCGTTGCCACGCCCGAAATCACTGCACCAGCCGATGGCACTGATTGCCCCAGGATCCGAATTCCTGCACACATTAAATGCACGCTTGATAAGTTCTACAGCTGCTGCGGGTCTCTACGATAGGGGTCTTGTTGCATTTAAAAGCTGGGACCATACTATTGTAAAAAATACATATATACTTAACTAATTATGTGTATATATTTATAATCCCGAGGAATCCTGTAAGCCTGCACATCGTCTCCGTAAAGAGAAAGTGGAATAAGGCCAGCATGTTCAGTTTCTTTGACGTTGGGAGGATACCAGGGGCAGTTGCGCTTCGCATTATCCCAGAACAGCTTTGCAGCATTGGCACCGCCAGGCCCCAAAAACATATTCTCAAACACCTCGGGGTTATACTTCCAGATCGCCCTGGCCAGTGAATCTGGAAACAGAACCTGCATGATGCCAAGATTCTATGAATTACTATATATTAGATCGTTTATATATGGCAAAACTGCACATAAAGCTATAGTGCTAACCCAGAGGCTGGTAGTTGCACAGATACGACGACGTTGTCCCGAGGATCCCACATCCTCACTTCGCAGTTCTCGATCTTGCAACCAAGAGCACGCCCGTAGATGCGTATAGCAGTTTGAAGATCTCGCTCTGCATTTTGAGCGTGTTTCCCTCTGCCACCCAGCTTTGCCATTTTCGAGATAATATCTTTCTTAGGAGCTCGCCCACCATGGCCAGAGCACCAAGACACAGCCCCTTCAGCCAACTCTTGTACCTGCAGGAAGGTGATCTTGTAACAGAGCTTCACACAGTTTGTGCAATTACCTTTTATATTAGGGTTTGTAGGTGGGGCAACATCTATATAGAATAAAATTTTGCTACAGTTGCACACAGAAGGGCTCCCGAGGCACTGCATTTGCCAGTGGCATACTTCATGAGCAATGCTTCACTGAGCTCGTCATGCTCCTGAAAGTGCATGTATTTATTCGAGCTACATGTGTATGCAAAGTACGGGACAAGTTCCATCATGCTCCTGGTCACACCGCTTCCGCTTTGAACTTGATGGGGCCGGGGCAGCTGGGACCACATCAACCTGCCGAGGTTTGGCCTCTGCAGATGCAAACTTCGCAGCCAGGCCCTCGTCGTGCAAAGCAGCTCGTTGGCCAAGAGCTCCTGCAATCAGGTGTAGCATGCATGTGTTTGGCTTGCCTGGGTATCGTTTGCACACTACAGCGCACATGTTTTTCTCGCATCTCGATCACGATCCCCGTGCTGCTTCTTCACACGTATGCACATAATTGCAATTGGCGCACAGGCCGGACACACGCTCCAGCAGGCATCGGCCGGATCCAGAGAGGGTATTTGAGAAAGGGGGCAAGGCTTAAATTACATAGGTTCCTTCGATAGTAGACTGAGTGCATGATACATAGGCATAAGCCTTCTGGATTTTTATGTTTGCATAGAGGCTATATATGGCTCCAAAGAGGGTCTTGCGCTCTCTGGGTGAGGGTTTGGGCATGGGGGCTATAGGGTCCGGGATCTCACTACAAGGGTCCAGGAGCCTTAAGTATATATTGTTCAGCTAGATCGGGTTTAGGGGTTTAAGGTTTAGGGTGCAGGGGTTTAGGGGTTTAGGGGTTTAGGGGTTAGGGGTTAGGGGTTTGGGGGTATAGGGTTTAGATGCCTCTTACGCTACCCACCCATAAACCCTATACCTATACAGCCCTGCTAGCTATAAATTATTAGGAATATTAAGTGCACACGTACAGGACCAAGGCCTTGCTGCTATAGGAGATATTAAGTGTGTGGCTGCGCACAGACACCCAACAGGCTTTGCACACCTGTATAAAGTTTGCATCACGCGTGAGTGGCCTGCACTCCGGACAGAACTGCAGTATCTTAAAATTATCTATATGTATATAGCCCGATACAAACACTGCGGGTTTAAGATGGATAGGTACCCTGCATAGGTTCCGGAATGTTCTATGCGCAGTCACGCCTGATGGAAGCCCCGAAAAGTTTCAGTCCATGTCACCCTCCTCGATCTCCTCACCATCCAGGTCCTGCATGGGCGACGGAATGGAAGGCAGGGAGCTCTATGCACTAGACATGTGGCAGAAGTTTCTCCACGCTTTCCGAAATCATGGCCTCCTCCTGCGTCGCTTGCTTGGACTTCTTGCCCTTGTTGCTTGCTTTCACGATATCATCTCCGGCTGGCTTGTCCTGCATGAACCACTCCATCCTTTGTGATCCCAGCTTCAAGGCCGCTTTAACTTGCGAAGGATCCACGCTCTCCTGCATGATGCGTGTGCAAGCAGCATGAGCGAGAGATGACAGTCTTATTCTGCATGCAAACAGAGCATTCGCTGTCCAAGTCCAAGGTGGCGATGTGATTCAGCTGCGCGAGGCTCGCGTCCATCTCATTAGCGTGGGCTTGCATCATCTCACCTCATATATAGATGCGTCCATGTTTCAATGGCATGACCTTATATAGAATCGAGTTATCTAGCTGGGGCACGCAACTTGTCTTGATGACGAACGTGGCATAGCTTCACAGTCAAGACCTTTGCATCACCCGAGGCCTTGGAGATTTTCCCTGTGAGCCATGTGATGGCGTCCTTGGGGTCGTTGGGCATTACGTCCCTTAGCGAAGCAGGTTTTACGACGGGTTCAGCATTTTAGGCATCATGATGGTTTATATAGGAAATACGTGCATTACCCTAAGGCTCCTAAGAAGGTTAGGGGCTTTGTGGGCGAGGGTTTGGGCTTTGGGGGCTACGGTTTAGGATCTCACTACGAGGGTCCAGGAGCATTAGGGTAATAGCCTGCATGTAAGAAAAGTATGGTTTATATCTTTACATATATATATATAGAGATCTAACATAAGGAAGCAAAGATCCCTCCGAGAAACCCTACACAGTCTACGCTTCGCTTCACATACATGGTCTTACACAATCGACATGAGTTTTTACCGCGGTATATAGGTTTAGTAAACATAATGCAGAAACAACAGAGATCCATTGCATGCGAAGTTCGGTTTCTTCGCCTTCTTCGGCTTGGGAAATGCGGGCAATGTGCCCGGGTTGCCAGGGCACCCTCTGCCACGGCCAGCTCCGCCCTCTGCGCCACCCTTCCCCTTCCCTTTCCCTTTTCCCTTGCCGGGAGCGATGTGCAATGTGCTTCCATTCGGCAGCATCTCAATGGATCCCGAAGCTCCCGATCCCGACGCTCCCGATCCCGAAGAGTTAGCCGAAGTGAGCATGCTGTTGTGCATACCAGCAAACGCATTCATGGCCTTGCACAGGCAGCTATGCATGGCCAACGTCAGTGGCTGCGGGACACTCGGTTTTCCAGCCTCGGAGCCGTGAGCCACGTCGGCCCTCATTCGAATCTCCATGCGGTCTTCCGTAATATTGTCAGTGGTAGAAGATATGTCCAGGAGGACCTGTTCCACGGCTATGCTGTTTACTGCAGGGGTTTTCTTGCATGCATGCTTAGAAAACATCTCAATGCAAAGTCCGTGGCACGTAATAGAGCTTTGCACTTTCGTCGTCCGGCAGGTCCGGATGTGCACGAACCAATCCAGCCCGCTGCTTCCCTTCGATGATTGCATTGACAAGCTCAGCATTGTGATTGTACATCACCATGAGCTGGGCACGGGTTCTCCATCCTGTCAGTTTTGATCGTAAGTAGACAGATACGAATGCCAGTTTTTACTTTGCTGGACCTGAGGCGCACACCATACTGGCTTCGATCGCGGGCGAGGTCGGTGCGACTTCTGAGATGAGAGACTGTCACCCTGCAGACAAGGTAGCGGTCTTGATTGTATGGATATGCACACACGCAGATAGAGGTACCCCTGTAAACCCCTAATTTAAAAGTACCCTATATAAACCCCCAAATCTTATACATATGCATATATATATATACACATACACCTTACGTAAACCCTATACACACACAAACCAACACACATACACACACACACATATATATATATATATATATGTATAGATACATACATACAAACTGAGCCCAGTCCGTCAATCCGATTAAACCCCAAACCCTACGGGCACACACACACACACACACACACACACACACACACACACCCGCACACGCACACACACCCACACACCCACACACCCACACACTCACACACCCACACACCCACACACCCACACACCCACACACCCGCACACCCACGCGCCCACACCCACACCCAACAAATTCACACCCACACCCACACCCACACCCCCACCCACACACACACACACTCACACACACACGCATTCCCATGCTGCGTGTAGCGGCCTTGCCCAATCCTTTCCGCTCTCCAGATACTTCTGGAACAAAGCGGTCTTGATTGAGCGGCTGTTGCAGCTCACAGCTTGCTTCCACAGGTCCACAATCTCCGACGGGGCCGTCGTGAGGGGACTCTTCATGAGCCTTGCAAATGAATACAAGCGAAACATGTAAGCACAACAAAAGAAGCCCCCAACCCACACAAAGCTCAAACCCACCCCATGTGTGTAGCCTAGTGACCGCTTGAACTCAGCAAAATGAGCTTGGCGGTCTTCGTAAGAATTCGGCACGATAGCCTGCGAAGTCTTTGGACCACGGTTCTGCATGTACATAACTGAATGCGTGCACTGCGCAGATCATATTGCCATCAAAGCACCGCACCACCCTGGACACCAACAGAATCCACTGCTTCACGGAGCGAAGCCACAGCGGCATTCTGCTCATCGGTCCTTCTCGCACTGGCCTTTGCATTCTTAGGCACCGCCGTTGCTGGAGCCTTGAAAGCGGTGGGAGCAGGAGCTTTGGCAGGGCTGGGCTCGGAGGGGCCAGGAAGACCACCTGAATTGGTAGCCGCCGAGGACTTGGGTGGAGCTTTGGGCAGAGTAAGGGTAGCAGGCGTGCTGGGCCTTTCGGTCAGCGGTTCGGTCAGCGGCGGGACTCTGTTGACAGGCTCTGGGAGGCTCTGCGCTGCCACTGCTGGCACTGCTACTTGCAGGTGCTTAGGATTCGGCACAACAACAAGAGCTTTGCACGATTCAGGCTCCGTTGGGGGGTTTGCAGGCTTCTCGCACATTGGCAAAAGCCAGCCGGCCTTTGGCCCCATTGAAAGGCATCCATTCTGTGCCTGCCGAACCTCGAGTGCATCAGCTGCTGGAGCGGCCTTTGCTAGGAGTAGTTGCGCTCTGCTCGCAATGCTTGAGTCACCTGGCGTAGGGTGCTTGGGGGTCACCGGAGTAGGGACTGCAGAAGCACACGGAGTGCACTTTGGGGCCACCGGAGTGGGGACTGCTGTCACAGAAGCACACGGAGTGCAAGTAGGGACTGCTGCCACAGAAGCACAAGGAGTACTCGCTAGAGTAGGGACTGATGTCACAGAAGCACCCGGACTAGGGTGCGTTGGGGCCGGAGCAGATAGCCCTGAGGATCCGTCAATAGGATCGGACAATCCCATCATTTGCTGCGCTCTGGCAGCAATCTTCCGCATCATCTCGGACTGGGCAGGCACATAAGGAGACGGACACTCATGGCCCGGCATCGGAGGTCTCACTGGAGATGCAATGGCCGGGGGCGGAGCAGGCTTTGCTTCCACGAAGCTCTCGCTTTTCTTGGGGGGTGGCATCAAAGCTGCTTTCACAGGAACAGGAAAGCCATTCATATCCAACGCGAGGCAGCGAGGCTCCAACGGAACCCTGGCCTTTGCTTTCTTAAGGCTATGCTGATCTGAAGCCACCTCGCGCTTGATCCCGGGACGTGTTTCCGGAGTATGCAATCCAAGCTCAATTGAATCCATCGTCACCGATCTGCTGTAAGGCGACACAGTCCCCAGCCTCATGTGAAAATGCTTGCATGCACACTGCACAAACACACGTGCACGTGTATACACACACACAC